TAGTGGTGGACAGACTGACCAAGTTTTCACATTTTATACCCTTGGCTCATCCTTTCAATGCCAAGGTAGTGGCTGAAGTTTTTGTGCAGGAGGTAGTAAGGATACATGGATTTCCCAAATCCATTGTAAGTGATAGAGATAGCATTTTTTTGAGTTCATTCTGGTCTGAGCTGTTCGAATTGGCAGAGACAAAACTTAAATACAGTACAGCTTATCACCCTCAAAGTGATGGGCAAACTGAAGTGGTGAACAGATGCCTAGAGACTTATTGAGGTGTTTGAGTGGCAGGCAACCTAGACAGTGGGTGAAATGGCTTCCTTGGGCTGAATACTGGTTCAACACTAATTACCATAGTTCTTTGAAGGGTACTCCCTATCAGGCCTTGTTTGGACAACCCCCTTCTATCATCAGAGGAGATGTTAATTTGACTGCAATTGATGAAGTGGCCAAATTGACAGCTGAAAGGGATATAATGCTGAATGAATTAAAAGACAATTTGGCCAGAGCTCAGAATTTGATGAAGCAACAAGCTGATAACACATTTCATTTTCATTTCATTTTCATTTACCCCAGTGCTGCAAAGGCTCTCACCTACGGTGGGGTAAGGGGGGTCGGATGTACGCAGGCTTACCCCTGTACTAAAGCATAGAGAGACTGTTTGTGGATGACCCATAGTGAAAATCCTGTCCAAAATTGCATGGACTGACTGCTGCTTCATAACAAACAAGCTGATAAACACAGGAGGGATGAAATACTGGAAGTGGGAGATAAAGTTTTTCTCAAAATACAGCCCTATAAGATGAAAAGTCCGGCTAAGAAGATCAATCAAAAGCTCAGTCCAAGATTCTATGGTCCCTATGACATTGCAGAGAAGCTCAGTCCTGTAGCTTTCAAACTCAAATTACCAGAAGGGAGTCGAATACATCCTGTATTCCACATATCATTGCTTAAGAAAGTACTGAAACCTACAGTAAAATATCAAAACCTCCCAAATTGCCTCACAGAAGGTTGTGAGCTGCAAGTGAGACCTGAAAGTGTGAGAGATATCAGGCTAAATCAGGAAGGGAAGAGGGAGGTCCTTATACACTGGAAGGAACTTCCTAATTTTGAAGACTCATGGGAAGATATTCAAGTAATACAAGATCAATTCCCTGAATTCCAACTTGAGGACAAGTTGGTAGTTCAAGGAGGGGGTATTGATAAGGATCCAGCTAGTCTAAATAATAGGAATAGATTCTATGGGCAAGTCTATTCTAGAAAGTCAAAGTTGACTAGCTAGTTATTAGTTAAAGGCTGTTAGTAACTAATAACTACCTTCGATATGTGAAGGTTATAAATAAAATAAGACTGCAGAGGGAAGGCATGCTGTTTTTAGACATTTTGTCTGGGACTGGGAAGTTGGAGTTCTATCTCCTTTGGGACAATTGTGTACGGTTTACCTCCTGTGAATGAGATTCAGTTTTCTTTTCTTTGTTCTTAATCTTCTGTGATTAATTCTGGAATTGCGAAAGTTCTATCACACACACTATTTAGAGGAGATTCTACCTTAACAGCAGTTGAAGAAGTAACCCGACTCACAGCTGAAAGAAATGAAATGATAAGGGAACTCCAACAGAACTTGGCTGCAGCTCAGAACAGGATGAAGCAACAAGCCAACAAACACAGGAGGGATGTTCAATTTGAAGTTGGAGACATGGTTTTTCTAAAGATACAACCATATAAGCTGAAGAGACTAGCAAAAAGATTGAATCAAAAGTTAAACCCTAGGTTTTATGGGCCATTTGAAGTGATAGACAAAATAAGTGCTGTGGCCTACAAGTTAAAACTGCCAGAAGGAAGTGCTGTACGCCCAGTTTTCCACGTTTCTTTGCTAAAAAAACTGTGGCTCATAACCAGTGATGTTAATCATGGTGCTATCGAGCGCTATAGCTGAGGTGCGGAGCGGATTACCAAGCTGGCGCTACCAGACGACATGTAGCATCGCGTTTGGGTGTAGCGGACTTAGTGGGCGCTATAGCGGTGGTGCGGAGAAGGTAGTGGCGGCCGCTATAGCGGCGAGTTTTTAGTGCAGGTTTTCTGCTAGGGTTTTTTGCCTTAAATTTTTTAGCGCAGAGGTAGAAAGGGTAAAATGGACTTTTAAAACAAAATATTAATTGACTTAAAATACTCTATTGATGCTCTGTGATGCGTTCTTCTCCAAGAACGCTCCAGCTCTTGACAATACTCTGTTTCTTCTCTGCGATGGCCCTCCTCTTCCTTCATTCTTCTCAGCAGTAACTTTTGTTGCAACATCTTCTCCAACCTTTGCTGCAGACCTGCAGTGAGTCTTCTTTTCTTCTTCTCGTATGGAGTCTAGTCAGTCTACTGTCATGTTTAAGCCCACAGGAGAAAACTTTAACCAACTTGGAAGTGGAACAGTTTGAATGATGCAAAAGATGAGATAGAGTTGGAAGAAGGTGAAGAATTTGATGAGGAGTGGTGAATGATGAATTCAAAGGGCTTGCAAGTCGGATCTAATTTTTTTGACTGTTAATATATCAAGGCTTAAACTCTTAAACTAGAACCTTGTTTTTGATTCAATGTATTAACTTGAACTAGAACCCGGTATCCGCTATACCGCTATAGCGTTTTTGGGGCTGGCCGCTACGCTCCGCTATCTGGGTGACAACACTGCTCATAACATCAATAGCCAGCCTCTACCAAGTTGCTTGTCTGAGGAGTGGGAGTTACAAACCCAACCTGCAGAGGTGTTGAACACTAGAGTAACTCCGACTGGAAGAAAGGAAATCTTGGTGGACTGGAAGGATTTATCTGACCTTGAAGATTCATGGGAAGATTTGTTGCAATTTCAGTCCATGTTTCCAGCATTTCACCTTGAGGACAAGGTGAGTTTTGAAGGAAGGGGTGATCATACGAGCTCAGCTACTTTTAGAATTAATCCCAAACAGGATTTTTCTAAAGTATACACTTGCAGGAGAAAAGGGGGAAATTAACTGTTATCATTAAAGTAGTGGTGGCCTAACAAACTAGTGAGGTGTCTTTGTGGCTGAAGTAAGAGAATAAAGCGTAACAGAATGGAGGGAGAGGGCAGTCTGGATCTTAGCAGAACTCTGGTTTAGGAGAGAGAGGCCCTCTTGAAGCGGTCTTAGCCTGTATTTCTTTTCTGCAATTTTCATTCTAAAATTTCTGTTGAACTCCATCTATATTGTATTTCCGCTTTTCAGTAATCTATATATACGATATTATTGTGGGCTTGGGTTAGTACTTATCAATCATTGACCTAACAGCATGTCTTCTTCATATATGTATACAAAATTGGGTAAAAAGGAAAGCGCTTTACTAGAAAGAGTTTTGCTGCGTAAACTCATTTTGGTCATTAAGAGAAACTTATGAAAAAAATATGTCAAGTTACCGTTTAAGAAAAAGTAGTTGAAAAGGAATGTAACGTACATTTCCTATCACCAGAATCACATATAAGTGATCTAACTAAATAAAGTCTACAAGTTAATGTGTGCCAAAGGATATCCACTAAAAACTGAATGATGCTAAAATCAAAACAACAAAGTACTCCCTCCGTCACAGGTAAAGTGTTAAGGACTCGCGTATACGACCTTGTCCAAGGTCTCAAACGAAATCTCAGAAGAGAAGAAGAGTCGACTGAAACTTTAGTATCAATGTTGTTATACTAAGAATATCGAATGAGGTTGATAATAACTATGAAGAGTCTTAAGAAATTAATCGGTGCCCGACCTAGTCAAGGCATATCAAATTAATTCTTCAAGGGTCCTTTATTAATCAATAATAGGTCTCTTATATAGAGATTACAAGAGTCCTAATAGGAAGCATATGAATAATAGGAAGCATAAGGATAATAGGAAGTTTCCTAAATTGAACAAGGAAATAACTAAGAAGGATTAATTAAATGCTGCCAATTGCCAATCTGCCAGCTTTCCTATTCATCGTGGTCAGCCACCTAGAGCATTCTGATCTTTCCCGATTTGACATACTAATTCCCCTGAACCTTCCCATCCACGCCTTCGTTGATATACTTGTCCATAGAATGGATCCATAACATAAGGGTTCTCACCTGCCTCTTTTGGACGTCCTATTTAAAGGTTCTCATTTCTATTTTAGGAAATAATTAACACTGCTAAATGGCAACTTAATCATCACATGTTAAAAATAACACACCCATAACATCAGTTATCATCAATTACCCTGTTATATTATATGTCCACCCAAACTACTTCTCAAACTATACCCAAATTATCTTATTTAATTATTTCTAAAAAAACTTTGACATTTTCCAATGGGAACCTTAAGCCGGGACAAAGATAGTAACATTTAAAACCTATCATCTAGCTAGAATATGTAAACTGAACAGAAAACCTTCATTATCCTCTTCTCAGAAAACACAAATTGGACAACTCTAGAAACAAGGCTGCATTGGACAATAACTACAATAAGTTTGATGCTGGCTTCATGCAACAATTGTAGCACTAGGCCACTAACTTTAGAATTTGTATCGTAATGAAGTGACGGTGGACATCATTGGTGGCAATGGCTCAGGGAAGTGACAATGTGTGTGTGCGTAATCGGCTATGTAAAAAAATGACAATACCAAAATATATGGTTTTAGTTGATGGGAAAATTTTGAAATAAAAAAACTATAGTGGAATCTGGAAAGTAACAGTTCGCATGTGTTTCAACCAGCAAACAGTTTATACTGACAGTTGAAGAAAAGCTACCAAACTAGACAAAGGCAATACAAGCAAGGCTGAAAATTAAAAATGTAAGCCTACAATCTTATCAGAATAAATAGATAGATACCACAACTACCCCATCCCATAAGAAGTGAAGGTTCACCTTTGGAAGAAAAATGAAAAAACACTATCCTATAGTGACACGACATATCCATCATAATCCCAATGCAAACCCTTTGGTAGTCTGGTCTCAGTTTATCCCAATGCATACTCTGTAGCAGAGAGAAAAGATCTCACCTGGAATGAAGATCCCTGACCAGTATGGTTGCTTGATGTGAGGGGAGGTGTACTTTTCTGATACATTCCTACAATTAATAATGACAAATTTTCTCAACATACCACCTAAAAATCAAACAAGACACACACACACATAAAAATCTATACCCGATGAATCATTAAGAGTCTGCTGTCCATCATTAACAATGAGAATGTCAGCCAAATGTACAGGAAGCGAAGAAGTGATCTGTCGTTGGTCTACAGGTACTCGTAACCCTGAAAAGGGAAGATACGATGTAAGCACAGACGTGGCCTTGGATTTATTTTTTATGGGGGTATGCTTTAGTGCCTATACAAATTTCTTATAGCATTACATGGCCACCGCTTCCCTATTTATTTTACATCAGATTGCAGTAACATGTCCATGCGTACACACATACACACAGTGATCTGCCATACTTCCGACATTAAGCTATTAATAATTGCCATCATCAGGGGGTGAGAGTAAAAAGGACCAAGCTTCCTTAACTAGTTCATAGCCAACTACTATACACAAAAAGTTCAAGACATAACAACAACTAATAATAATGAACTTAAAGTGATACTGGTAGAAGTCTAAAACAAATTATTAGCAAATAAATAAATATGGAGTAATAAAGTTATATAAAATTAGATATGAACTTATAAAGTATTTAGAGCATCAAGAAAAGTAGATAGCCCTGGTGTTTCATTGTTTTGTTGAGATAATAATGAGGTAAAAGCCTCAGAAAATAGTATCAAATGACTTTTATACTTCACTTAGAGCCCTAAATCACATAATACATCACAGCTCTAGATTGCAATGAATTCTCATCTCATGCAAACAATCCAAATGTATATAAAGGAGAATTGTCAAAGAATAAAAGTATCAAAGTCGGAATTTTTTATTAACATGAAGGAAATGATATAAAACATAGAACCTTCTCCCTGGTTTACAGCAGTTCGGAGTAAAGTTTCCTGCTCCTGGATTTTTGCAGCTTGGGCCTTGTCTATAGTTGGAAGAATTGTGGGCCCCTGTCGAGTGCCAAAATAGGCTTTACGTGTATCAGCTATAACCTTTTCAGCACTTTCACAAGCTGCTCCGATCATTTCGATTCGGTTCTACAAATGACAGTAGAGAAAACCTCAGAATGCATCAAAAAAATAACATGAAGAATAAAAACTACTTAAATCATTCATCATTATCATTATCCCAATGCCACAAAGGCTCCCACCTATGGTGGGGTAAGGGGGTCGGATGTACGCAGCCTTACCCCTGTACTAAAGCACAGAGCGGCTGTTTCCGGATGACCCAGAGTGAAAATCGCGTTGAAAATTATATGGACTGCTTGATGTTTCATAACAAAGAAGCGCAAACAGTATAGACGTATAGTGAGACACTTTGCTTTATTCCATCATATTCTAAGCCAAAAATAGTGTCTTTGGCTCCATTGCAAATGATAGAAAAATAAAAACTACTTAAATGAAATGAAGAATAAGAACTGCATGAAAACCTTGAGCTTCTCTATCTGTGAGGCCACAGAGAGATTTTGCAAGCCAAGAAGCAATTGCTCCCTTTTGGTGTTATCATCCATTTCCATCTCAGGCAACAACTTTGATGATAACATAACAGGTAGAACTGCATGTGCAGGAAAGTGGTACTCAGATGTTTGATTATGGACAAATGGAATAAGAGCAGACAAGACTATAACTCAGGCATGATAGAAATATGTAAAGTAATGAAGGACTTACTTGTAGCATTCTCAACATTAACATTCTTTGGATGCACAACGAATGCCTTAGAAACCTTTTTTATGTCTTCAACTATATTAAACAGCTCCAAATTGACCATCGAAAACTGCCCTAAGATGTCTTGCCTGAGACGCATAGAAAAATTTATTCGTAGGCTCATAAGCTCATAGCATCAAACTGCGCCTATTTGCGTAGAACTTTTCAATTTCAGATTGATGCAAAAAAATGTGCTTCAATGGCGCAGGAAAAATGAAGTGTTTACCATTTAGGAACAGCATTGGTGCGTGCTATGACATCAAAATCTTCAAGTATGCGAGAGATGGCTTTAAAGAGGCTGATAGCTCGAGTCTTAACAGATTCCAGGTTAAGCTGCTGCTGGACAGCAGGTATCAGCTTCTCCACAACCCTAGCAGGTTGATTTTGTGTCAATTGTTGATCCTGAGCTCCAACCTTTCCTGCCATGGCTGCTGTAGGCGCAAGAGTGGGCTTTTCTAGTCTAGCTCATTCATAGGTAAACTTAAAGTACTGAAGCAGCCACTGGCGTAGTAAGGCGGAAAGTGGCGCAATGCGATAACACATTGACAAGTTTTCTTGCCTGAACTGAATGAGAAAATAATTAATTAATTCATTCATTCATTCATTCTAAACAACGTGCTATAATCCAAAAGAGGACAAGAAACTCTCCCATTAGAATTTAGAAGTATCCAAATTTCACTCCCTGTTTATATGTCCAGATCCTAATCCTATCCTATTCCATACAAGGGAGGAGAAAAAAGGTTCAAGTTTCCCACCCAAATCTAAGATCAAACAAATCCTTCTCCATACAAAATCTGAATAGGAACAATGGTTTTAAGGCCATCTTTCAAAGTAAGAACAGTTGAAAACAGTATGCAGGATACTTTTGTTGTTTTGTATGACTCCCGATTATATGATTCTTCCTTACATAAATAGGGCCAGTGGCGGAACCAGGTTGGGTAACTTGGGGGCACATTAACAAAACAAAACATAATGAAGAAGAATAAACAAAACATAATGAAGAAGAATAAACAAAACAATAAAAATGTAAATAAAACAATTTAAAGAATGCCTTAATTTTGATTAGCAATTGATGCTTAAAATGATGGAGAATAATCCAGATGTGGCAATCTTTGTCTTCGAATCTCCGAACTCTGAAGTCTGAAATCGCCCCATAATGACTTCATTCACAACCTTAACAAAAACATCTTTCTCAACCTAGGGACGGGAACGGGTGTGCAAATTTTAACATAGGGATTGTTTGTCAAACAAACTAGCAAGACTACCAGAGGCGGACCCACTAAGGGTCCCAGGGGTCCCGGGACCCGTGCACCTCGAAAAAATACCTATATACTCTCTCCGGTTCTGAAAGATCTTTACACTTTTCATTTTTATCAGTACCACAATTATCTTTACACTTCCTTATTTGCCTTATTTGGCAAATAAATCTACACAAAACAGTGCCAAACAGTGCTAAACAGTGCCAAACAGTGTACTCTACAGTAAAGTCAAATTTATTTCCTTAAAAACTGTGAAGTCAAAGTGTCAAAATCTTTTGGAACCGGAGGGAGTATATTATGGTGACGGGTGCTAATTCCAAATATGAGGTCGCGGGTTCAAAACCCGGCCTCTTCCTTTTATTCCTTTTTTCAGTGCTAGACTTGAACAATGACTAGAGTATGTCCTTTTTTCCAAATGACTAGAGCTCGAATCCCATCTCCACCTTTTTTAATTTTTGCTACTTTTCTCCAATTTACTACTTATTTTCTTTGAAGGAAATTTCACTTTTGTTATCCTCCGACTTGAACTTTTATTTTCTTCATTTCTTCACGCTAAATGTATCCAAATAACATCAAATGTACCAGAAAATACAAAATACACGCATAGGACTGCACTAATACAAATTAACGACAAATAATAAAAATATGTACAAAAGTACATTTTTAAAAACTAAAATTATCAACAAACTAAGCCTAAAAAGTGTGTAAAATATAAGCACATCAGTCGCCCGGATTTTTTTTTCTCTGCTGCTTTTCTTTGCATATCTTTTTTTAATGTTAGATTAAATTAATAAATTCATGTATTTATAAATGTTATTTTCAATTTTATACGATTTAGGATGAAAAGATATTTTGATGTTGTACCCAAATTTAAAGAAAACTAGAGTAACGGGAGTAGTTCAGGTGCTAATTCAAATAATTTGCCATTAGTAAATGAAGAATTGAATCAATTTTTTTATTAGTTTTATATTGGTATTAATTAGAGATCACAGATATAAAAGGGTAGGGACCCGTGGATCCAACTTTCTGGGTCGCCACTAAAGACTACAATTGAAGTAATATGAGTATAATTGTAAAAATTGCATTCTAAGAAACTAAATAAACAAATCTACAATTACAATACACTTAACAATCTATTAATTGAAAATACAATGGCACAAAAAATTAACAATTTATAAAAATTGGATTAATAATGAATAAACTCCACAAAACACAATATATGAATAAACTTACACCAACTGGGAAAGGGAAAGTCTCCGGGAGGCCACCGGCCGGCCTGCAATGAGCCTCTCCAGACTCCAGGAACTCGGCGAGTTGGGCAAAACGGTCAGAATGGGATGAACGGCGTTGCTCGTCGTCGTCAGCGGTCGGATTCGTCGGACGATCGGCGGATTCGTGCTCGTTGGGGAGGGACGCAGGGTTGTTTTTGCCTGTAGGTGTTGCCCTCTTTCTGTGTTGTTGCGCAGAGAAGAGGACTAGCGGAAGGCTTCCCGTTGACCGCTTCTGTTCTGTAGATGGGCCGAGAGATAGGGTGGCGGGCTGCTGGGTTCTGACTTCTGGGTGGGCTCACTCGCAGGCTGGAGGGGCTATCTAGTTAAAGATTTTTTTCGTAAGATGCTTCCTCTGTTTTACCTCATTCACATGTTCTAGTTTGATTACGTTTTATTTATTAGTGTTTAAACATTTTTTCTGAAAAAAAAAAATAAATTTATCTCAGTGTAAATTTTCAAAAAACTGATTTTTTAAATTATTTTACTAATAAAGAATTGTATACATTAATGGTTAAAGTTGTGCATCGGCAATGTGAAATTTTGACCGTTGCATTTATTTAAGAATGAAGTGTGTGTGTATGGAGAGGTTCAAATGAGAAAAAGCTTTCAAGTGGGAATGAGAATAAATTTCATCTGTTGGATTCGGCTATTTTGTAGTAAAAATAATTTATATTGCAATAAAGTATGCAACCTAGATTGGTGGAATTTTTTAAAAATTCATATTACAATTGTCTAGTGCAACATTAAGTTGTTTTGGTGCAACATCGTCAAATAGTAGTGCAACATGAAACAATTTTAGTGCAACACTGAAACTTTAAATCTTTTTGCAACATGAAGTTGTTTTTAGTGCAATATCGTAAATCTAACGATTGGGATTCATTCTCATTTCTCACATTAGACGCATTTCTCACTTGAACCAAAATCTATATATGTATGTGTGGGTGCGGGTGTGTAAAGAGATAGTTCAAGTAAGAACACCTTCTTAGGAGAGAAATGAGAACTAAATACATCCACCCAATTGTTAGAACGTGTGGCGTAAAACAAGAAATTTGGAATGTACCAATCGCGGGCTTTAGACGCGTAGTGGTAGGGAAACTAGGAAAGGTATTTAGTTTTAATCACTAAAGAGTAGTATTTTTTACGTAAAAGATGTAAGAAGGCATTTACCAATACAACGGACCACGGCAAGTTGTTTACATCTTGTTCCTTAGAAATCACATCTGTTTCTCCAACTTTACTTGTAGTTACAGACTATTAGTTTTTTTTTTTTTTTTGAAAGGAAACTGGCATATTATATTTGTTGGTAGAAAATAACCCGGGTCAAGAATTCGGCAGCATTTCAGTGTAGTAAAAATAACTTGGATGAATACAAGGGGTTAGAGGCCTATTTATAGGCGTATACAACAAGTCCAGTAATAAAAGGCTACATGGGCTTGGCCTGATTTATTAACTAACACTAACGCTAATGGGCTAGGCAGCCCGGTAAGTAATTAAATAATCCCAGACCAATATCCGCTAGTCGGACTGTGTTCTGAGCTTGGTCCAGCCAAAGCTCGGGTGTAACAAGCCAATAGTCTTGGGTCCGGCCCATTATCCCAACACGAGTCCCCCACCCCCTTAGTCGAGTAGTAGACTCAGCTAAAAGGGAGTAGTTAAGCAGTTTTGGAATCGGTCTGGTTCCTGGTCCGGCCGATCGGTCATTAACGAGCCTTGAATTTGATCCAATTGCTTGTGAAAGGATGAAGTCTTCCTTGATCCGACTGGGAGACCTCTTCCTTTGTTCATGATGAGGGGGTGCCTTGTTAAAACCTTACAAGGAAAAACCCGATGAGAAAAAATCCTAGTGAAGGAAAAAGAGTACACCGGAACCTTAAAATGAAGCAAAGGAAGGTTAGTCCCCTCGATTCTTGATTGAGTGTATGCTTTACTAGTAAGCCAAGATACGTTCCGGAAAGGCTAGTCGCACGGCTATTTGCCAATGGTGGCGGTCGAGTCGAAGTATGCTCGGGAGAGATCACTTGCATATTTTTTTGTTGTTGATGTTGAGTCGAGGTATGCTTATGAGAGGTCGGTTCCACACTTATCTGTTGATGATGTCGAGCCGAGGTGTGCTCGGGAGAGGCCTGCAGCTCAGTTGTCCGCTGATGATGATCAGGTGAGGTATGCTCTGAAAAGGCCGGTTGCACAGCTGTCCACGTTGATCCCCACTACTTGCGAAAGGATTTGGTTTCCTTCGTATGGGTTGCAATTAGAGTCTTGATTGTTCATTTATTAACCTGATTTCTTGTTCGTTCGATTAGCAGCCAAAAGTCTTGTTTGTCCGATTAGTAACTCGGGGGCTTGTTGTCCGACTAACAGCCAGGGTCTTGTTTATCCTAATAGCAGTCATGGGTCTTCACTTATGAACAATGCTCGTCTGACGTTCTCAAAAGGATGTTGTGAATAGTCCACCATGATAAGTAGTCCATTTTGATTGCTATTACTACAGTGTCATTTGACCTTCAAGCTTCCCCCTGGTTGGATGTAAGGTTGTCTTAGAAGCCATGAACTTCCCTTGGATAATGTAGGACGAACTTGAGTTGATTTATGGTCGGCCTATCTGCGCGAGCTTGGGCAGCATGATTTTCGTCATTATCATCTCGGATTTGTGTGCTACAACGTGGTTGTGCAACAAGTCTCCCTGTGGAGACGGAACGTCCACTTCGTTGAATCAAGCTTGTGCAACCGAGTCTCCGGGCGATGAATGTGTTCATGTCTCGTCAAACCAGGCTCGTGCAACCAAGCCTCTTGGTGGTGACCGCATGCTCACGTCGCCGGGTTGGGCTTGTACGACCATGCATCCTGGTGACGACCGTGCGGCCGTCTCGCCATGGCGGGTTCGAGCAACCAAACTTCCGGGCCGTGACATTCCGTCTACCTCGCCAGTTTGAGCTCGTGCAGGGGTACCTGATCTACCAATCATGGTTATGGGTGCTCTACGAAGCCTCGTGGTGGTGGCCGAATGCTCACGTCGTCGGGTTGGGCGTGTACGACCACACATCCTGGTGACGACCGTGCGGCCGTCTCGCCATGGCGGGTTCGTGCAACCAAACTTCCGGTTCGTGACATTCCGTCCACCTCACCAGTTTGAGCTCGTGTAGGGGTACCTGATTTGCCGGTTGTCGCTGTGGGTGCTCTATGAAGCCTCTTGGTGGTGGACAAATGCTCACGTCGCCGGGTTGGGCGTGTACGACCACACATCCTGGTGACGACCGTGCGGCCGTCTCACCATGGCGGGTTCGTGCAACCAAACTTCCGGGTTGTGACCTTCCATCCACCTCGCTAGTTTGAGCTCGTGTGGGGGTACCTAATATGCTGGTTGCCGTTGCGGGTGTTCTACGAATCCTCTTGGTGGTGGCCAAATGCTCACGTCGTCGGGTTGGGCTTGTACGACCACACATCCAGGTGACGACCGTGCGGCCGTCTCGCCATGGCGGGTTCATGCAACCAAACTTCCGGGCATGACATTCCGTCCACCTCGCCAGGTTGAGCTCGTGCAGGGGTACCCCAATCTGCTGCGGGTGTTCGGTAGGTTGAAGGCGTTCACAGATAGGGTGAGCATCGTGATGTCTTTCACCTTTGGATTGTGTTGGGCGCATAGGGGCACACGGGCGCAAAGCCTACGGGCGTACACGGTGATAGCTGCAACGTGACTGTGACTTGTCGGTGCCGATGAGTAACCTGCAATTTTGGAAAATTTTAATAAAAGATTCTTTTTTTAATTTGTGATGTATGATGATTGTCCTTTGCTCGGACGAAAATCAGAGTAGTGCTTTGATTCCGTCTGTGGTGAAATTTTGACTAGGTCAAAATTAGGAGGATTGCTCATATGAAAAACGCCAAAGGCCTTCAGTGAGAAGCCCTTCGTCCAAACCTATCTCTGCTGCGTTGAAGTTCCCTATCCAATTCGAAGTTGTCTTCTCCAGGAACAAGGGCCTGCTCTGTTATGTAACGGGCGTGTGGCTGGAAAGCCCTGGCTCGACGGAGAGCAAGGCCGCAGATGACCTCCTTGGGCTCGAAGCTCTGTTGTTTCCTTCAGTCATCGATGTTGCCAGACGGGAGAGGAGTTCGGTGGGGAAGATTCCCAGATCGTGGAACTGCCGGAGAAACGCACTGCGAACAGAGGGGCGAGCTCACCATTAATGGTGACCAGAAGCTTGGACAATTAGCTCGTCCTGGAGCGACCGTCTAGGCGGCGGAGTGACCAGAAGCGAGGGGAGCGACACCGTAACGGACTGACGGCGATTGCTGGGAAGTGACCTGCTGGCTTGCGAGGTGCTCTGCGAGACGCATCTTAGGTGGAGGAGCTTAATCCCCGGAATCTGGGTTGCATCGTCTATCTCCTTCCTTGACCTTTGGTCGGATGGGATATGATGTGAAGACTCCACTAATTTTCAATTCGAGAAGATATGATTTTTTACAAAACCCTCATCCTCGATCATTTTGGCTGAATTGTGAAGTTGTCATGAACTTTTTAATAATTTTTCAAGCTATTTGACTTGATTTTGCCGGTTTCTCTTAACCTTCTGCCGGAAAAACGAGAGAAAGCTCTCAATGAAAGCACCAATGTTGGTAGAAAATAACCCGGGTCGAGAATTCGACAGCATTTCAGTGTAGTAAAATAACTTGGGTGAATACAAGGGGTTATAGGCCTATTTATAGGCGTATACAACAAGTCCAATAATAAAAGGCTACATGGGCTTGGCCCGATTTATAAACTAATAGTGACGCTAATGGGCCAACCAATTTGGTAACTAATTAAATAATTCCAGACCAATATCCGCTAGCCGGACTGTGTTCTGGGCTTGGTCGGGCCAAAGCTCGGGTGTAAGAGGCCGATAGTCTTGGACCCGACCCATTATTCCAACAATATTAAATCAAAAACTCGCAGAACATCCAGGAGAAGTTGCAAAACATAAATTTAATCGCCGAGATTAACATCCCTCTAAACAAA